TTGATTAGCTACTATGTGGCAGCAAGGAAGCAGAAGATATTCCTAGTTGCCCCAAATGGGTGAAGAAACAATAGTATGGAGGATAGAATATATTAATTTTATAATGCTGACCTCTAATTTACATTTAAAATATATATACCAAAAATAACTGGTGACATTTTATTCTTCATTGGAATTTGAAAAATCAATAAAACATGACTCAGAAGTTAATATATCTTTGAGAGCCAAATTTTCTAAACAGAGAAAAAAAATACTAGGCAAACTATTTAGTATTGTTCATAAATTTTCTCAAAAATTCTCTAAAAAAATCATAATTTCTTGCTTTCATCTCACATTTATCATTCACTTGAGAGCAACTTATTGTGAGAAAAAATTTTAATATAGTTTAATCTCTTGTGGCTAGAATCTCCCATTACAATAAAATTGACCACCTCTGAAATATCAACTGGAATCAAGTGATCCAGTGAAGTTTTTGAGTTCTTTATCACATACTATACCATGATGCATATCTTTGTAATATAAAATAAAATATAATAATATGCTACATGCTAATGTAAAATAAAGTTAAAGAAAAAAACTTACCCACATAATTTTAGGATATTAAATGCAGATTCTATAAAGTGGGGCTGGTTTTCAATTTTTTCTGCACACAGATTCAGAATTTTAAATATTTGTGCTAAATCCCTTAGGGGCTTTAATATTTTTAGTTAAGAAATAAAATTAAGATTAATATTTTTATTAACATACTCTATAGCACTTCTCTCAAGAAAGTCTATAGAATTCCATCTATTTTGTTAAATGTGGTTGACACTTTTATTTTTTATTTTTTGACACTTTTAATTATACTAATTTTGAAGTCTAAAGAGGAAAACTTGGAACCATATATTTTTTAGGAATATTATTTAATTTTTGTCTCAGTAATCACTTATTCAAAATATCATTTTCCCTTACCACACCTTTAGAATTTGATTACCAACTACTACACCATGGATTCAGCTGATCAATAACTTACTATTGGCAATAAGAAATAACACATAGAAAAAAATAATAGCTCAATTTTATACTTTGTTTTCCCCCCGCACACACAAAACATACACTGCTCCAGAATAAGTAACCCAAACCTACCTTATTTATTTTATTAACATTATTCAGATGCATGTTCTTACTTTTATGTTGTAAATTGGCTGAGATTTTATTTCATTTAAAACTCATGAAATGAGGGGCACCTGGGTGGCTCAGTCAGTTAAGCATCCAGCTTCAGCTCAGGTCATGATCCCATGGTTAGTGAGTTTGATCCCTGCATGGAGCTCTGTGCTGACAGTGGGGAGCCTGGAGCCTGCTTCAAGTTCTGTGTCTCCCTCTCTGTCTGCTCCTTGCCCACTCATTCTGTCTCTCTCTCAAAAATGAATAAACATTAAGAAAAAACTAATGAAATAAAAATTTTGCTTTTATATTAGTCTAAAAGCAAAATTTATCTTCTCTAAATCTTGAGGTAACAGCACCTTTTATCTATTTAAAAACCCCAATTGGTGGGTGCCTGGGTGGCTCAGTCAGTTAAGCATCCAACTTTGGTTCGGGTCATGACCTCATGGTTGGTGGGTTTGAGCCCCACATCAGGCTCTCTGCTGTCACCACAAAGCTTGCTTTGGATCCTCTGTCCTCTTTCTTTACCCCTACCTGGCTCTGCTCCCACTCTCTCCCTTTCAAAAATAGATGAACATTAAAAACAAACAAACAAACAAAACCCTACCTGGTGCATAACAGCCAGTTCTGGAACTCTCTGTTACCAATCTGGTAAGATGACTACAGAGAGTGAGAGTTTCCTGTGACAATTGCACTGCCTTTTATAATAGCTAATATATGCAAAGGTTAAAACAGTAACAACAACAACAACAACCCAACAATAAACTGGTTCTTAAACACAGTTTTGAGCTGCACTGGTTTCCACATATTCTGATCAGGGTGGTATATACAGTGGAAATAATATATTTATATAATGTTTTGCAGGTTATCAAGCACCTGCATGTACATTATCTAGCCTTCCTAACACAATGATGAGGTGCTGTTATCCCTATTTTCTTAAGAGGTGGAGAAGTTAGTACATTTATCAACAGTACAAATAATCAGGTAAATTGGTAAAAATAAGACTTTGACTTGACCCTCCTAACTACATCCATTGGGGCACCTGTCAAGTGACTCTTTTGGCACAGGTCATAATCTCACAGTTGTGAGATCAAGCCCTGCATTGGGCTCAGTGTGGAGCACAGAGCCTACTTGGGATTTTCTCTCTCTCCCTCTCTCATTGCCTCTCTCCCCTGCTTGTGCTCCTTCTCTCTCAAAATAAATAAATATACTTTTTAAAAATTGCCATTATCTGTGCAGAGTTAATCGCATTATAGTGTTTCTTCCATTTTATATTCCCTGGTAAACAAAAAATATAATTCCGTGAAAAATACAAAATGTTAGATATTTTCTGTGGTAGACAGAATAATGGATTGCCCAAAGTTGTCCATACCTTAATTCCTAGAACTTGGAATGCAAATGTTACCTTACATGGCAAAGGGACTTTTCAGATGTGATTACATTAAAAGCCTTGAGATGGGACTGTTATCCGAGATTATCCAGGTAGGCCCAAAGTAATCACAGGGGTTCTACATGGGAAAGAGAGAGGCAGGAGAGGATCACAAAAGATGTGACCACAGAAGCAGAGATGAGAGTGGTGCTACTCTGAGGAAGGGACCATGAGCCAAGGAATGCTGGCCACCTTAAAAGCTGGGAAAAGCAAAGACAGGGATTCACATCTACAGCCTTCAGAAGGAACCAGCCCTGCCAGCACCTGACGTCAGCCCAGTGAGGCTGATTTTGGACTTGTGACCTCAAGAACTGTAAGAAAAAGCTTTAGGATGTTTGGTGACACTAATTTTGGGGTAATTTGTTATAGCAGCAAGAGGAAATGAATACATTTTCTAATAAAAATTCTCCCATTTCAGGATAAATGAAACAAACCCATAAAGACCTAGATAAAGATATAGATATATGTAAAGGATACAAGTCCATTCTGATAACACTGCACCAGTTTCTTGACAGATTTAAGTTGTTCTTCTTCTAAATCATCCTAAAACAAGTTATCTATTTTAGTTCTTTTGTACTGTTAAATATGTTGAGATATTAAAAATTTTCCTGAATATAAAAAGAAAGTAAATTGAAACTGTTAATTGTTAAATTACTATATTATAATGCAAGCATTATAAAATATTTCCTCAAACAGTGAAGGTAAAAATAAATATATCATTTAAATTTGATTAGGAAGGGGCACCTGGGTGGCTCAGTCGGTTAAGTGTCTGACTTCGGCTCAGGTCATGATCTCACAGTTCGTGGATCCGAGCCCTGTGTTGGGCTGGGCTCCGGGCTGACAGCTCAGAGCCTGGAGCCTGCTTCAGATTCCATATTTCCCTCTCTCTCTGTCCCTCCCCTGTTCACACTTTCTCTCAAAAATGAATAAACGTTAAAAATATTTTTTTTAATTTGATTAGGAAATTGAGAATCAAAACTAGATTAATATAAAAGCAGCATTTGTTTCCATTAATAATATTAACAATACTTGAATTCACTGAGCATTTTTCTATGCCATGCACCATTATGCTCTATTGATACATGTCATTTAATTAATTTTTAAAATAACCCTATTAGGAAGGTACCATTACTATCTCTATTTTCCAGAATAGGAAACTCAAGTGGAAACGCTAATTTGTCCAAAATCACCTAGCTAGTAACTGAAGGTGTTAGGAGTCAAAGTTGGCTATCTGACTGTAGAAATTGTATTTTTAACCTCTAAACCAAGCCCAGTGTAATGGCACAAACATCTTCAGCAAATTAAAACAAAACTCAAAAAACAAAACAAAACAAAGAAACAAAAACAAAGCTCAATACAGTGATATGTTTGTTTTCATAACTGAATCACACTGTCCTTTTAAAGTTATTAAATTGTTCATAAGAAGCTGTGGCATTTTCTATACATTTTTTTTTTTTTGGTCTACCTTTATTTAAAAACTAGTTGGAACTCTATGTAGTTGGGTTTTCTTTTTTTTAATGAAGGCACATTCAAAATTAAAAATAACTTTCACAACAAACACAGCCAGCAAGAGATAAATTATTCTTATAAGGGCCATTATTATTATTGTGCTTTTTCTCTATGTGAAAATGTGAGACTAAAAAATGCTAACACAGTAACTAAATTTTTGGCCTACTAATCACTAGACACTTTTTTTTGATTGACTCTACCATGATCAACCCATTTTCCACATATTAAAAGCATGAAATCTTCATCCTGTAGTCATGTTATAGTGTGTGCTGGCTTTTAGGCATGCAATCGATTCCTGGGTAATGTCAGGAGAGTGTGGTGTGTGAGCATGCATGAAATGCATTTATTATCCTTCCTCCCAATGCCTACACTCTCCACTGTGAGTCTCAGATCTGAAATAATTTTATTTCCATTCCATTCTGTATAAGATCCCTCTCAAAGTAGATTAACTTATGAATATGTCTGAGTGTGTATATATCCAGATTTCATGTCAGGAAATTTTAAGTAGTACATCATGAATCACCTTTTCTACTCTTGTTCCCCACATCCTTTTTGGTAACAAGCAATTAATAGAGGCTGGAGGAGTCTTCCTGTACTCTTGATACCTTCTGTTTATATCTACCATAGATTTGTCCATCCCACAAAACCAAATGAAATCTCCTCCAGCCTCCATACCAGGTAAAACACATTCATACTAAATTTAAACAGTCCTTGAATATGAGAAATGTTCCTATTTGAAATGTTTTCAACAAAAAGGAATAAACAAGACTTATTTTGGGGGAATACATGTTACCTTTCAGGGAAATCATAGTTTATAAGTGATACAGTAGAGAAATTTTCTCTCAAAGCTTACTTTATCAGTTTCTTCAAGGAGTCTGATGACGCGATTTAGGTCCATGGTCTTGAAAGCACCCTAAAAAACATACAACTCTTACAATTCTGTGTCATGAGAATCAAGAAATCACATCAAACACACTATTTTTCTATGATATTATCCCTCAGCAACTTAAAAGTATCTTATGCAAAAAGATAGTGAGGAGAAAGGGATAATGGAGGGATGGGCAAAATGGGTGAAGGGGAGTTAGAGATAGAGACCTCCAGCTATGGAATAAGTTACAGGGATGAAAAGTACATACAGCATAAGAAATAGAGTGAATGGTATTCTAACAGTATTGCATGGTGACAGACAACAGCTACACTTGTGATGAGCATAGCAATAACTATACACTTGTGGAATGACTATGTTGTACACCTGAAACTAATGCAACATTACATGTCAACTATACCTCAATTTCTATAAAAGATATGGAGGGGAGAACAAAAAGCAGATGAGACCTTATAGGAGTAAATAAATTTTGGAGTTGAAAAAAATATTAAAAATGCCTCTTGAATTCTAGTATTATCTTATAATCTTATGGTCTTTAAATTTCAAAACACCTGTAATAATCGCACTTCCATGCTTTGGAAAATGAAATGATCCGGTACATATATATTCCACATCCCACACATGCACAATACATTGAGTTTGTCTATGCAGATATACATAAGACTCGCTTCTAAACTATAGGTAGGAGATCATCTTCCTGAACTAGGTATCCCCTTTCTCAGTTGGTACCAGCATTCTTACAGTCATCAACATTAGAAAACAGAATTTCCAAGTTCTATAGATTTTACATTTTAAATATTTCTTGAGCACAACTGATTTATTCACAGAGTTGTGAAGGTATCCTGCTGTTCTCAGTGCCTCTACTCTCCCACCCTTCATCATGGTCCTCTACTCTATGTGGTCCTCTACTCTATGGTGAATAATAAAACTCAATTCTGAACATAATCCATCTAAATCATTCAGTTACTCTCCATTAGTGCCCCTCACCCCTCCTCTATTTTCCTTCCCTTGGTTAAACCCCACGGGTGCTTCAAAACTCAGCTCAGGTATTGCCTCCCCAAGGGAAGGAAAAGGATAGAACAAATGTCCTTCCTTTGTGCTCCCATAGCACCCTAAGTTCTTTATCCACTACAATTCCCATCATGGTTCTAGAATGGTTTGCATGTTTATCCCCCACCACACCCTCCCCAAAGCTCACTCAAGGCAAAGACTTTTGTTTTCTGGCACCCCAGCTCCAGAAACTGGGCCTGGCATATGAAGTTATTTGTAGGTAAGCGGAGAAGGAAACAGGAAGTGCTATCATCCCAAATTTAAGTACTTATACAAAAATCTCCACATTTTAAATTCAGTTTTGGAGATTAATGCTTTGTTGCATGACGTTTTCTTCCCTTTTTTTTTTAACCTTTTTTAAGTTTATTAATTTACTTTGAGAGAGAGAGCACACACATCAGCAGAGACCACTTCAGATCCTCTGTTCCCCTCTCTCTGCCCCTTCCCTGCTCATGTGGGCTTTCTCTCTCTCAAAAATAAATAAACATTAAAATTTTTTTTAAATAAAAAAAATAACTTCAAAAAATTATATAAAAGATGATGATATAAAAAATTCAAAAGGGAAGAAAATCCTACTTATTCCTATCATCTAAATACATCTACTTTTATATATAATTTTGTTTTTATATATTTATTTTTATATGCTACTTTCTGTTTTTGTTTACATGTATAAATATATAATTTAGCTTAGTGTTAACACCATTGTATTTTGATTTCTAAATCTATAATACATATCTTTCCCTATGTCTACATAGATATTATTCTATTCCCTCTTAAGTCTAGAATTTCCTTTCCTTTCACAATTACAAACTCATATATTCTAATCTCAGGCAATGTCTTTCAAAAACAATTTTCAGGGGTGCCTGTGTGGCTCAGTTGGTCAGGTGTCCTGCTCTTGGTTTCGGCTTAGTTTGTAAACTCATGGCTCGAGTTCGAGCCCCACATCCGGCTCCATAATATCAGTGCAGAGACCTGCTTAAGATTGTCTCTCTGTCTTTTTCAAATAAATAAACTTAAAAAAAGCAAACAAACAAAAAAACAGTTTTCAGTAAAGTGTTCTAATTTTAAGTTTGTAGGGTAAGTATCTGAGTGAGTTTATTAACTCCAAATGCTTTTTACCAAAAAAATTAATAATCAAAAAAGATTTCCTAAATACTGATCTTTATCTGGTATTATGGTTATCCTTAAAAACTGTTATATTTTACTGTTACATTGTTTAAATTATTAAATTTACTGTTACCAAAAAAGTTGATGAATAATAGAATTTTGTCTTTTAAGATTTGAGTTCAGTGCCATCTGCCACTACCTCCGTTGTCTTCTTTCTTCCTCTTGGAAAAAAGAGGTTTTTGTTTTCAGATTTTCTGCAATATTGTTTTTGAAGGTTGGAAAGCATATTGAAATGAAAAGTCAATGCAACATTTTCTTTTTAATGCCTGCATGTATTATCAGAATTGTTTTTCCCAAGTGAGCAGGTATAACTTTTATTAAGAAACAGAGAGTAGTAAAGGTTAAAGCATAGATTCCTTTCAGATTTATGTTGATTACTTCATGCTACTCTGTGTGTTACTTGCTAAGCATATATTGTATTTTTAAGATTTCTCCTGCCCTCCCTCCTTTAGCCTGTTCCTCCTTCCATCAATATTTAGAAGCAGCTTCTATGTTTCAGAAACTGTGCTAAGTGTGGGGAACAACACTGCTCTGACCTCAAGTAGCTATCAGTCTGGCATGGAATACAAGTAATACAGATAAAAAGCTACAAAATGCTCCCTGCATGCTGAAAGGCGTGCTCTGGAAGCACACAGACTGGAAGCACAGAAGGCATGACACAGTTGCTGTAAAAAATAATTGGCAGGGAGAGGTGAGAAGGAGTAGGATCTGTGAGATGAACTGAAGGTTTGAGAGGTGGAGACAGGGAATAGCATATGTGAAGGCCTGGAGGCAAAAGAAGAAGCATTTTGAGGATGGGGAGGAAGATATAGTGCAAAGGATAGTGGCTACAGATGATGCTAATTAGGTAAGTAGAGGTCAAATCATGAATAATAACAATAATGATCATAACAATGATGGTGATGTCTATTTCCAGGTACAGTTGTACTTTCCACGTATTTGCTAATTGAATTGTATGAGGTAGATACTATTATTAACCCCACTTTACAGAATGCCTTGTACGTATCCTATGCTAAAGATCTTCAAAAATATTGAATGGTTTGAGAGACTGGATATATAAACAGACAATGGCCAGACTACATATGGCAACAGACGTCTAGCCTGTAATCTCTGCAGCAACCAAACCCAGGAGCCATTTGCTCAGGAAAGTCAGAATTTGGCAATGATTGCCAGATTCCCTATTTTTTGCCCCTCATATTGCTATGTAGGACCACCAGAGAAACCCAAATATGCTTCCCAAATCAATCACATAGAATGCCCTGTTTGTAGCTAGCCCACCTCCAGCTTCCCCATGGCAACAACCTCCAAACAGAGCATACCAGAAGCTTTCCCTTTTTTCACTACAAAGCTTCCCTGCCTGCCTTAGCGTCTCTGCCAAATGTTAAGTAATGCTGGCTGACTTCCTATATAGCAAGCTCTGTATATTAAATAGTGCCTGCTTATTCTCATCAGGGTGGTCTTTATTTCCACAGGCTTTAACCAGAGGAGTGTAACAATAAAAAGGCAATTTTGTTTGCTGAGTAGAGACTGAACTGGAAAGGTCTAGGCTGAACTGGAAAGGAGGTAGGACACATCTGTAACTTGAGGCCTTGACTAAGGTACTGGCAACCCAGGCCGACAACAGGGAATGGAAGGAAAAACATCAAGGAGGTAGAGTCTGTGGGACTTAAAGAGTGATTTGATTTGGTGGGAGAGAGAGGAAAAGGTGATGATGCTCCTGGGCTTGGGCAATTATAGAAGTAGTGTCACCCTTTGCGGAGACAGGGAAGGCTGGAGGAAGAGGCCTGTGTTGAGGCTAGAGATAAGTTAAATTGGGGGGTAGAGATTTCCAAATCCGAGACTTAAAGTAATAATTGGAAGAGTTTGGGTAAATGAGATCACACAGCAGAATGAAGCAAAAGAGGACATACAGATGTAAACATGAAAATAATTGCTGTTAACATGTTTATAGAGAATTGTAAAAACATTTAACAAAACATTTTAAGATCAAGTCTAATAAACTGTTTTGAAGAAAATTAGACCTTTACTTACAGTTACAGGATAAATCTATTTTCCCATTTTACCACGGGACATGTCAAAGGGGAGAAATCCTGCTCATTTGATACATGGTTATGGGGAAAGGAACTAACATTTACTGTGGTCCTTTTATGTGTCTGTCTCTGGCACTTTATATCCTTTTTCTTTTTTTTTTTTTTTTTTCTAAGTAGGTTCCATGCCCAACATGGAGCTTGAACTCACAACCCTGAGATCAAGAGTTGCATCTTCTACCAACAGAGCCAGGCAGGCCCCTCCACCCCCTTTTTTAAACTTTATATCTTAACTGGTCCTCGACTTTACCATATAGAGTTGATGAAACTGGGGCATTGAGACCTAACTTGTTAAGGTCACATAGCTAGTACCTGGGCTAGCAGGTCTGTCTGATGCAGGAGTGCTGGTTCTTTGCACCTTAGTCCTCTGCCTGACTTCTCAACTGACCACTGAGGTTATTTCTAGCAATTACCCCAAAAACCAGGGTAGGCAATTTTAAGGACAGTCCATGGCAGTATTACATACAATGGCAGGACAGGACTTCAACTAGAAGATTGTGGAGGTTCTCAGAGGAAGAGCAAATTTGGGCAAGGAAGCTAAGCCATGATACCTATGCAGGCCAAGTAATCACAATTTATTTATTCCACAAACATTTTTGAGTATCTACACTGTGTCAGACATTGTTCTAGTTGCTAAGGATATGGTATTGAATAAAACACAAAATCTCCTGCTTTCCTATGACATCAATATGTTTTGTCTTGCACAGCAAAGAAAACCATCAAGAAAACAAAAAGGCAACCTACTGAATGGGAAAAGATATTTGCAAATGATATATCTGATAAGGGGTTAATATCCAAAATATATAAAGAACTTTTACAACTCAACAGCAAAAATCCCCAAATAATCCAATTAAAAAATGTGCAGAGGACCTAAATAGAATACATTTCTAAAGACATATAAATGACCAACAGATACATGAAAAGATGCTCAATATCACTAATCATCAGGGAAATACAAATCAAAACCAGTGAGCTATCACCTTATACCTGTCAGAATGGCTAAAAACAAGCAAAAAAAAAAAAAAAAGACAAGAAATTACAAGTGTTGGTGAGGATGTAGAGAAAAAGGAATCCTCCTACACTGTTGGCAATAACATAAATTGGTACAGTATGGAGGTTCCTCAAAAAGTTAAAAATATAAGAACTATTACATGATCCAATAATTACAGTACTGGGAATTTACCCAAAGAAAACAAAAACACTGATTTGAAAAGATATATGCACCTCTGTGCTTATTGTAGCATTGTAATGTTTACAATAGTCGAGATATGGAAGCAACCTAAGTATCCCTGATAGACAAATGGATAAGGAAGATTTGGTATATACATGTAATGGAATATTACACAGCCATAAAAAGTATGAGATTGTGCCATTTGTGACAACACAGATGGACCTAGAGGGTATTATGCTAAATGAATTAAGTCAGACTGAGAAAGACAAATACCATATGATTTTACTCACATGTGGAATCTAACAAAAAACAAATGCATAGGGGCACCTGGGTGGCTCAGTCGGTTACATGTTTGACTTTAGCTCAGGTCATGATCTCAGAATTCATGGGTTCAAGCCCCACATCAGGCTCTGGGCTGACAGGTCAGAGCCTGGAACCTGCTTCAGATTGTGTCTCCCTCTCTCTCTGCCCCTCCCCTTCCCCTGCTCACACTGTCTGTCTGTCTGTCTGTCTGTCTCTCTCTCTCTCTCTCTCAAAAATGAAAAAATAAAACAAATGAATAAATCAACAAATAAAAAGCAGAATCAGACCTATAAATACAGAGAACAAACTGATGGTTGCCAATGGAGAGAAGATGGGTGAGGGACAGGATAGAAAAAATGGGTGAAGGGAAGTGGGGAACTGGAGGCTGCCAGTTCTGGAATGAATAAGTCACAGGGATGAAATAGAGAATATAATCAATGATATTGTAACAGCATTGTATGGTGGCGGACGGTAACTACACTTGTGAGCACAGCGTAATATATATACTTGTCAAATCACTATGTTGTACACTTGAAACTAATGTAACATCATGTTATCTATAATCATATAAAAGTTTTTTAATGTTTATTTTATTTTTGAGGGAGACAGACAGAGAGAGACAGAACACGAGTGGAGGAGGGGCAGATAGAGGGAGACACAGAATCCAAAGCAGGCTCCAAGCTCTGAGCTGTTAGCACATAGCCTGATGGGGGTGGGGGGGGGGGCTCCAACTCAGACCACGAGATCATGACCTGAGCCAAACTTGGACACCTAACCGACTGAGCCACCAGGTACCCCACAAATAAAAAAATTTAAAGTGAATTAATATGCTTTGGAGGAGACAAAAATCACTGTTATATAGTTTACTACAAGATGACATATCTTTGGAGGAAAGAAAGTAGGAAGTGTTAAGATGCTTAAGCAACGGTCAGCAAAAGACTCACAGAGAGGGTAACATTTCAGCAAAGTCTTGAAGGAGGTATGAAAAATAGGGGAAAACTACCAGGCAATGGGCACACCAAATGCATAGGCCCTCAGGCAGAGGTATAAAATACACCCAGCAAGAGAAGAGAAGAGGCCAGGAGGCCTGAAGAGAAGCCAGGAGGCCAGTGTGGAACACAAAAGGCTTTGTAAGTTATTTATATGAACTTAAATTTCTACTCTGAGCTCAGAGTCAAGGAAGGAAGGACACATAGGTATTAAGATATATTTCCTACACTTAAGGAATCCATATTCGAGGGAAAGAGGCAAAATTTAGACAAACGAAACAGTTGCCAACATAACACAAGTGATAATTAGGTGACAAATGGTGTGACTGAGACCTAGAACTAAATTCATTTATGAAAAGATCTGTGAGGGTGAAAATAAATGCTTCCTATTGGGAGAGTACTTTACATTGGAGAGTAGGGAGGTAGGGTAAGGTTTAAATTCAGAAAAGGGGGAAGAGCATTCATTTAGTAAATATTTAATATCACCTCCTGTGTACCATATATTGTGCTGTGCTACTGGGGAATACTAGAAGATTATGGGGGACACCACAGGAAAAGACAACAGGCAAGAATTCTATCTTCTTGGAGGTGGCACTAAACTGAGAATCTGGTACAGATTAAGTACAAATAATACATTGGGAAACCCTGAAAACACAACAGAGAAGTAGACCTGAGGCACTTTAGGGAAGGCAGAGACCTTGGATATCATCTAGTTCAGTGGTTTTGAGGCTGAAAATCACTCGAGAGTTTAAAAAAAATAAATTTATTTATTTTGAAAAAGAAAGAATGAGAGAGAGAGAGAGAGAGAGAGAGAGAGAGAGGGTGGGCACAAGCAGAGGAGGGGCAGAGAGGAGACAGAATCCCAAGCAGGCTCCACATCATCAGGGCAGAGCCTGATATGGGGCTTGAACTCACAAATGGAGAGATCATGACCGGAGCCGAGACCAAGATGCTTAACCGACTGAGCCACCCAGCCCCTTGAGACAGCTTTTTAAAAAGTATCAGACTCCACATTGGGGATTATGAGTCAGTAAATCTGGGTTAAGAATGAGCTATGTACAGTTTTTTGAACCCCTCAGATGACTATGATGGTCACCCAGGTTTGGGGCATGCTCCTCTCAAACAGGCTTGCTTTATAGAAAATCGAGTATTAAGTGATTTGATCAGGGTAATTCTGTGTGGTGACGTAAGCGATAAGAAACTACTGTGGAATCCTGAAAGAGGGGTGAGGCTCAGAGGGAGGAAGGAGGACCATAAAGTGGTATTTATGGAAAGCAGTTTGGGAAGAGATGAAGAGATGCTGACTAGAAGGATGTGACATTCATCCAAGATCAACTGAAGCTTTGTGGTGACAGGAAAAGAGAGCAAGTAGTTCTTTTAAACTCCATTTGGCATCTCTTGTTTTTTAACACACAGTCTGGAACAGTGGGGGTAGGGTTGGAATTTTGTTTTATTTTTGTTATTATTTTGTTTTATAATCTGAATCCACATGAAACTACTTCCTACAGCTATCCAAGAGTTAAATGTTGTGAAATTCTGTAGCACTGTTCATACTTTACTGCAGCTATAATAAATTAAGCATTGCTACTTCAGGTGGGAAATGAGGTCCTTCAACCAGTAGCAATGGCATCACCTGGAAACCTGTTAGAAAAGCAGAATCTGGGGCTCCTCCCCAGCCCTACAGAATCACAGTCTGATCTTGATAAGATCCCCAGGTTTTCCAAATGGACGTTAAATTTTGAGAAGCACCTCTAGAGGGCTTCTGATTCTTTAGAATGACAACAACATTAAAATAAATAGGAAATTGGGGCGCCTGGGTGGCTCAGTCAGTTAGGCATCCGACTGTTGATTTCTGCTCGGGTCATGGTCTCATGGTTGGTGGGTTTGAGCCCTGCCTTGGGCTCCGCCCTAATAGCATGGAGCCTGCTTGGGTTTCTCTCCCCGTCTCTGGCCCTCCCCCACTCATGCTCTCTCTCTCTCGCTCTCTCTCTCTCTCTCGCTCTCTCTCAAAATAAATAATTTTAAAAATAGGACATAGATAAAGGTAAACAATTTGTGATTTCAAGCATAGAATGGAGCTGACTTAAAGCACTGAGGTAGACTCTCCAAAGTCACTTTTAGCTACCAGTATATACTTACTGTCTCTCAAGTGTTCCAAGGGTTCCATGAGTCTTTCCTCTACTGGTCTGAGGCAGAGGTCTAAAAGGTTATCATTTCATTGATGGCAAAGATGGCTAGACCTCACTCTGATTAAAGAAACTAAGTAACTCTCAGTTAACTTCTCATGGCCTCATTTGTAAGAACAACTACAAAGAATACCCAAAAAGGTTGAGTGATCATTTCTCCTAGCTCTAAAAAAGTTTTTATCTCATTTCTTTTGGTAGAAACTGCCTTCTCCAGTACTTTGAAAAATATTAACGCTTCTCCAAGTACTTATTAACAAGCTAGGAACTCCAATTAATACAAAAATAGTTCTACCTGAAAGAGAATCCAAGGCTCTGTAAGGAGGGGTAATAATGAAAGAAAAGGAAAAAAGAAAGGGAAAAGGGAAGGGAGAAAGTACACACACATATATACAGGTTTGCTAGTTTTGCTTTACTTGATATGTTGTGGACTATTCTGGCTTTGGCCTGTTAAAAGCATTTCCCTTTTTTTTTTTTCTTTTTAACCCATGCTAGCCTGCCTCGTGTAACTTTGCCCCCCATCCCTGCCACCTCTTTTACAGCGAGTGAAGGAACAAGAGCCATTAGATACCAAATTCACCTACTTCTCAGTTGTGCCCGGTTCCTGGGACAATGGCAGTAACGTTGAGCCCCCCTGCAGCCTTGGGAGTGGAGAGCTGCTGCTCCTGAAAGTCTTTCTTCTCCCTACCCTATTGGAATACGTCCACAAAACTGATAAGGTAAATTCCCCGTTCCTCCTCATGCAAAAGTGCTGTTGCCCACAGTTAAAACCGTGCAAATGTCAGAGAGTCCTCAGGGAGTTCAGTCTTATTCCCAAAGAAGAGGTCCCCAGTCAACTGGCCACTCCCAAGGAACTCTCCAAGGTTCCAGGATGTGGACGTAGGAGACAGGGTTCCTGACGCAGCCTGGGACTCGCAAAACCTCCACAGGAATTCCCATAGTGACCCCACGTCATCAGTGTGAAGAGGTAGGGTAGGATTCCTCCAGAGAATTCACGCTTTAGGGTTTGATCAATACTCTCTAGGGAGGGGCAATGGAACCCTAGTATGAAACAAACGACGTGGAGTTCACAAACACTTCCGCCACGAATGGAGATCCAGCCGAGGGTTCCGAAGTGAAGTATCTCAACAGACCAACTTAGAAGAACTAATTTTGTATTCCTAATAAAAATAAACTCAAAACCAAATACAAGTAAAGTAAAATATGTAAATTCTGTTCTCTCTCAACTCCGGCTCCATAACCAGCCTCCAATTTCATATGAAAATGAGGCTACTTTCTAATTTTGACAGATTTTCCTTCCCTCCAGGTGTAGGTTTTAAAGTGGGAGCTAATTTAAACACGAGAAATTTTACCCCGATGTCAAGAACATCACTTAGTAACAGGTATCTACGTACAAGCCCATTGCAAACAAAATGCTCATTAAATCCATGATTTTGCTACAAACGTGTCCTTTCCTCCCACGCCCTTCGTGGTCACACTTTTCGAAGAAAAGCGGCAAAACCTTGCTTATTCTGTTTAGTGGGACGGTCCGGGAGAACCTCGCGCCACAGTCCCCAGACAGGTTGGCTGACGACAGCTGGACCCTCCCTCCGGCGGCAGTTCTCGGAAGGATCGGCGTTGCCTTGGGAACCTCTATCCCGCGGGATCCGACTGTTTCCACTTCGGCCCCCATTTCCGCCCTTTGCTGCCCCCAGGCCTCTCCCCGCCCCCCCAGATCCCAACCTCCCCTCCACACTTCCCAAAGCACAGACACCCGACCATACCTGTGCGTCCTCGTCCTCCGTCACCACCCCGACCACCGGGATTTGGCGAGGGCTGCTGGACCTGTTCCTGCGGCCCGGTTCCGGGACCTCGGAGGTCCCCGCGGCCTCAGCTACCGACATGGCTGAAGTGGGAGGGAGGGAGGGATGGGGGGCGGGGGTGGTCCTCCAGTCCTACACAGTTCCCTTAGCCTCAAGACCCACAAAGTCCCCCCCCACCAAGAAGAGAAAGCCGCCGGAGAGCCGCTAGGGTCGCGAAAAGCCTCGGGAGTCCGGCAGTGGCCTCGGCCACCACGACGCCACCCTTATTATCAAGCCACCGCAGCCCACCGGCGGACTTCTGCTCCCGCGGGCTGGCAGGTTGTTAACAAGCCAGAGCGTTGCTAGGGGCGGGGTCGGGGGCTGCAGAAGCGTCGGCTCCTACGGAAGCCTGGGGAGCCAAACTACCCCAAACCCTAAAGGCACCTCCAAGTTGCGAGTAGCTCAGTTTGGTCGCTGGCGGGAGGGAGGCGGGAGTAGACGCCCCCGGTACGTGGCAGTGGCGTGTTAGCTTGGCGTCTTGTGTTCTCAGTCTTGCTAGTTTGCGCCGGGCCTTAAACTAAAGCAAGAATGGGTGGAGAGATGAGGGGTGGATGTGGGTTGTAAGAGTGATGGATGATGGATAGGTAGTTTTAGAGGTGGAGCAATTTATCTCACCTCAGAGGAGTGACCCGTGTCACCTACAATCCCTGCCTTTTCCCTCTTCTGTGCTTTCGTGGCTCTACCAGATAGTTAAATAACAAACAAGGCATAGTACACAGTGTTAGAGGTTTTGAGTCAAATCATGGAATCTAGAGCAAGTTAACCCCTGGAAGCCCCCCACGTTCCCCCTTTTCTCATAAATTTTTAACATTTCTTGTCAACAGGATTGCTGTGAGAAGACAGAATGAGATGGTAGTTTGCAGATTGGCGTTTTGCACTTAAGTACCCAGGTAAATGGTCAATATTATCATTATCTTTATTATTACTGTTATCTATCCATTGTATCCTGAGTGATGACACAAGGAGGGTCACGAGTTTAATGGAAAGCTGCTTATGATAATCATCAGTATAACTTAATCACCCCCAAAGGCCATGGCTATGAAAATATCTTAAAGTCCTTTAAACCTTTTCATCTTTTTTTAGCCTGAAGAAACTCTTCAAGATTCATATGTGTTTTTATATTATCTATAAAGTTTATTGCCTTAAAAATTACAGATAACAAACTGCATGAAAATAAATTTCACTTCACCTCTCAGCATTTCTCTCTTCATTTGTAGAATGAGCTGGTCGATCAGTCATTTCTAAGTTTCTTTAACCAGTTCAGACACTGAATGACATTTCTGATGACACAAATAAAAAGAAATGGAAAAACTAGATTGGGCATGCCAGCACTTGATGTAAATCATAGCCAAAGACACCAAGCTTTTTTGAAAGAGAACTGAGCGTTTCTAGTCTCCATTTCCTCACTTATATTCATTCTTCCACTTTCCTCATCCTTTATCCCCTGAAAGTGCCCTGGGGTCACCACTACATGTGGCCTAAGTCTGTGGACCCTTTCTTGTCCTCATCTTGTACGTATCTCTAGTATTTCTCCCCTTCTTGAAACTCCCTTGCCTGGACTCCAGCTCTCTTTTTGTTTTCCTTTTATCTTTACTCATTGGCGTTTTTAGAGCTCCTTGAAGGCCTTAACACCTAGAGGTGGGTCCAATAGGTGTAAGATTGCTATTACTCCAGGAGAGTATAAAGGTTGTGTCAAGTGTATTAACATGAGCTAAATTGCTGTTGCACATTCCAAGTAAACTATATCAAAAGGAGACTGAAATCACTTGAGTAAACACAAGGGGATCCTGTGAGAATAGCACCCAAAACCAAGATAGTAGTGGAGAGCTGACAGTCGGATGATTTGTTTAATCTTTTGTGTATTGAGCCTGGCATCTCCGGATGAGTAAAGATGAAGAGGAGGGACTGTCAAAAAAATTTTTCCACTTAAAGCAAAGTTTATCTGGGAGTTATCAACTGACTATAGTGTTTCAGCACAAAAGGTGAATCTGATGAGAATCCATAAACCTTAGTGACTGGAAAGTCACACTCTCCTCACTGGACTTAATTGCAGACACTTTCCTAACAAATGAACAAAAAGATTTTTATTTTACTTTAATTGTTTACAAATCTATATATTCATTCTGTCCTATATCCACAGTACCAGTTCCCAATGCTTAATTAGCATGACTCCTGTGAACGCTCCCTTTCTAGCACCTAAAAACTCTTTTCCTGCTCAGTGAAGTCAGTGAAATTCTTCATAGGAAGGGGTTCCCTTACGTAGGAAATTAATAGATTCAACTTTGTAATTTTTTTTTTAGCTCTCATGGTATTTGTTTTTGTTTGTTTTTAATCTTTTTAATGTTTTATTTTATTTTTGAGAGCGAGAGACAGTGTGAGTGGTGGAGGGGCAGAGAGGAAGACACAGAATCTGAAGCAGGCTCCAGGCTCTAAGCTGTCAGTACAGAGCCTGTCACAGGGCTCAATCCCACAAACCACGAGGTCATGACCTGAGTTGAAGTCAGACACTTAACCCACTGAGTCATCCAGGTGCCCCTAATGGTATTTGTTTTTATTATTTGACAAATGAGAGGCAACCAGGATGGAAATCCTAACACCCCACATGCAAGCCATCTTGAGTGAATTATTTGTTGTTTCAGGAAGGTTCCAAGCTTCTTCCTGCATTACCTTTGCGTATTGTTGTACATGGGACTGTCTTCAAATATCTAGCTCCCTGTGAAACCCAGCTCATGTGACTTTTTGGGGGAACCTTCTTTACATCCTCTGTTGGATGCCACTTTGTCATTATGGTTTTGTTCTTACCACATACTTAATGGTGTTTATTGACTCAGGTGCCCAACCCCTTCCTTCTAGAGACTTTGAAAGCAAGGAAAGTCACTTCTTCAGATTTGCCCCCCAACCCCTCAGCATAGTATCTAGAATAGTGTTTCTGAAAGCTTAACATGCATCAGAATAATTTGGAAAACTAATTAAAACCGACTGTCTGAACCACACCTCCCTAGTCAGCTTCAGTTAAGCCTACGGGAGGTCCAAGGATTTGCATGTGTAACAAGTTCCTAAGTGATGTTATGCTCTTGGTCAGGCTAATGGTACTCAACAAATGTACATTAAAGATTTCAATGATTATAAATTGGTTTTTAAATTTTAACTGAAGCCAAATTAAAGCATTTCATAAGTTACCCAGAGTAAGGTAAATTATAAGTCCTTGCTGCTCGAAATGGGTCCTTGAACTACCTACATAGGCATTGTTAGGTAGTTAGGGGCTTGTTAGGAATACAGAAGTTCTACCCAGGATGGACCTCCTGAATCAGAATCTCCATTTTAACCAGACTGCCAGGTGATTAGTGTGCATATTGAAATTGAGAAGCACTGGTCTAGCGTGATGCGTGTATATTTTCATTAATGTTATTGGGGAGTAGTTTTAATGATCTCCATAAAATTGGCTTTCACTGAGTATCCATCTGTGTATTTTCCATTTCCTTTGTTTTCTTACTGGTGATAATATTTGTTTTTCTTTTTGTTAAGTGCACCAAGTTTAAGATTTTAAAAAGCTTTAATTGTTTATATTAGGTAATGAATTTAATTTTTTTTGATATTTTATTTATTTTTGAGAGAGACTGAGCACAAGTGGGGGAGGGGCAGAGAGAGAAGGAGACAAAATCCGAAGCAGGCTCCAGGCTCTGAGCTGTCAGCACAGAGCCCAGTGAGGGGCTCAAACTCATGAGCTGTGAGCTCATGACCTGAGCCAAAGTCGGATGCTCAACTGACTGAGCCACCCAGGGCCCCAGTAATGGATTTAAGTTTAATCATTCACTGAACCTTTTAAAATGTATTGTTTGAAGACTCTAAGTTAAGAGCACAGGACAGTTTCCTGACACCACAACACAGAAGGATCTAAGGGTAAATTGACTAACTATTGAAATGGTAAATTATCTCAGCAAAAAGATAAATTAATAGTAGAGAAATGTATGGGAAATAAATTATGGAGAAATGTTTCAGTCTGATAACAATTTTGCAGAATTAAACATCTGTTTAGTTACAAATTGCAATTCCTTAAAAGCAGCTATAGATTGAAGATTAACTTGACATTTTAATAATATGTTGTCCTATGTACATTTTTTACTTTTAAAATAAAGCTAAGTATATTTTTTATTTATTTATTTTTTGGTTCTAGTTCAGATTTTTTTTAATGTTTCAAGTTTTTTTTTTTAATTTTTTTTTTCAACGTTTATTTATTTTTGGGACAGAGAGAGACAGAGCATGAACGGGGGAGGGGCAGAGAGAGAGGGAGACACAGAATCGGAAACAGGCTCCAGGCTCTGAGCCATCAGCCCAGAGCCTGACGCGGGGCTCGAACTCACGGACCGCGAGATCGTGACCTGGCTGAAGTCGGACGCTTAACCGACTGCGCCACCCAGGCGCCCCTCAAGTTTTTATTTAAATTCTGGTTAATCTATAGCATAATACTGATTTTAGAAATAGAATTTAATGATTCATCACTTACATATAACACCCAGTGCTCACACAACTGCCCTCCTTAATGCCCATCACCCATTTAGCCCATCCCCCACCCACCTTTCTCCATCAGAAAGTTTGTTCTCTGTCATTAAGAGTCTGTCTTATGGTTTGCCTCCCTCTAGTTTTCTTTCCCCTATGTTCATCTGTTTAGTTTCTTAAATTCCACACGAGTGAAATCAGGGTATTTGTCTTTCTCTGCCTTACTTTGTTTAGTGTAATACACCAAGCTTCATCCATGTTGTTACAAATGGCAAGATTTCATTCTTTTTGATGGCTGGGTAATATTCCATTGTGTATGTGTGCGCACACACACACATACACACACACACACACGCACACACACCACTTCTTTATTCATTCATCAATCAATGGACATTTGGGCTGTTTCCATATTTGGCTATTGTCGATAATGCTGCTATAAACATTGGGGTGCATGTGCCCCTTTGAATCAGTATTTTTGTATATTTTGGGTAAATACCTGGTAGTGCAATTGCTGGGTCATAGGGTAGTTCTATGTTCAACTTTTTAAGGAACCTCCATACTGTTTTCCAGAGTGGCCATACCAGTTTGCATTCCCACTGAAACTAAGGATATTTTGAACATTAATAAATGTAGTATTAAGAAATAACATTGTTCTTCTGATATTTTTTCCTGATACTTGTTTGCACACTGCCTAATTAAGCAATATTTAGTAAAATTGTAATTATTCATTAGCACAACTTAAGAATGTTTCTAGTAAGTATTTTAGATTACATATGAATTTGGTAGTCTCTAAATAATACCAGATGTTCCAAATGTTCAAACAAATGTTATTCTTTTGTGAGTCAGAGTAATTAATTTTAAATAGAATTTTTATAGCACATAAGAAATGTAATTAGAGTATAGTCTTTGTAGGTTAGCTTTAGGGGAATTATGTAACAGAAAGAAAACATATAAAGCTGGCATTTTATCTACTTTAGTGTTTTAAAAAATCTTTCAGTTTGTGACAGAAACAAAGCTTAAAAGAGAAACAAAAATAATTACCTCTTTCTGACAGAATCATTGGTGCAAATTTGGGAGTAATAAATACATGGGACAGAACAAAAGTAAAAGATCAGCCACCTCTGAAGTCAACTATTCTAATAAAAAATGTACTAATAATCCAAATTGCAAGTGACTTTTAAATAGGAAGATAGAAGAGCTATTCATGTTTAATGGAGAAACTAAATGGTAATATGTAAATGAAATGAATTTATGGAGTGATTTGTACCTAACCAAAGCTTCAGTCCTGTGACTTAGGAATATTCCATGAAATGAAAATGTTCTCCAGCTTTTAGAACTAAAAAGAACTATTGTGTTCACATGGTGGGGGTTACAGTGTAATAAACCCAGG